TGCTTCTTTGAGGCCTACAAATCAAGTTGAAATGGGTATTGTTGCCCGGAACCATGTTGGTGCTTTGATCCTTGCTGCTGGAAGACTTTGTGAGCATTGGGATGCGGTGTATATAGAGCTTATGGCGAATGAAGCTATTCGTGAGGTGCGGATGGAGTGGATGTTTGAGCTTGAAGGAATTATCATCGAGGGAGATTGAATTAATGCTATTAAATGGATGCAGAATTTGAATGATTTTCAAAATAAAGTCCATTATTATATTGATGGACCGGATCTTTCTTTTCTAATGGAGTTTAAGCAAGTTCCTTTTCATTTCATACCCCGGCAGAGTAAACGGCAGGCTGAATTTAGTGCTCGCCATGCTTTTGCTGGTAGTTTCTTATACCATGATGTAAATAACAGTGAGTTCCCCTCGACTTTCGAGGGAGGATAGCGATAGGGCATAGTAGTTTTTTTCTTTGATATTTACTTTTAACTAGTTTTACTTATTTTATATTGCAAATGCAGATATTCAGCTCTCTCTCCCCTCTCACATTCCGTTTTCCTCTCTCTCCTCTCTCCCTCTCTTCCTCTCTCTCATATTCCCTTTTTCTTTCTCTCTCTCTCTCTGTCTCTCTCTCACACACTCTCTCTCCCTCTCCTTCTTCTCTCTCTCTCCATCTTCTTCTTCTTCTTCTCTCTCTCTCTCTCACTTCCTCTCTATCTCTCGCTTCCTCTCTCTCTCATTCCATTTTCCTCTCATTCTCCCTCTTATTCCCCCTTCATCTTTTTCTCTCTTCCTCTCTCTTTCACTCTCGCTCTCTCCTCTCTCGCTCTCTCTTTCTCTCTCTCTGTCTCTCTCTCTCTCTCTCACTCTCTCTCTCTTATTCCCTCTCCCTCTCTCTCTCTCTCTCTCTCCCACACTCCCTCTCTCTCTCCCTCTCTCTCTCTCTCTCTCTTTCTCTTATTCCCTCTTCCTCTCTCTCTCTCTCACTCTCTCTCTCTCTCTCTCTCCCTCTCTCTCTCTCTCTCTCTCTCTCTCTCTCTCTCTCTCTCTCTCTCTCTCTGATTCAACCCCGATTAGGCCGGTCGAATCGTGAGCCTCTCATTTTTTCTATTCATTATCCTATTTGATTTTCATAATCTTGAATCTTGAATGTGAGAAAATATACAAAAAAATATATTTAGGGGCTATTTGGTTGCATGTAAAATAAATGTAGTACATTCTGAATACTTTGAGACTGTTTGATTGTCTGTAAAATAAATGCAAGAGAATTGTTTTCCTTGTTTGGTTAGGTAGATCCAGAGTAAAGTAAAAGCGCTTTATTTGTAATGATTTATTTTTGCATTACAACTAGTGCATTTGTAAAAGTAGTGTATTTATTATAATTAGTATTATTTGGCGTTATAAAAAAATCATTGTATTTATTTATTGCACAATCTTATTAAAAAAAAAATTAACTAGAGTTGGCTTGAAAAATTATTCCAGAAAACTAGTGGGATTAAGTTAGCCTTGGATTAACTTAAGGCAATGCCAAATTAACATGGAGTAGTAATCAAACACTAACACAAATGCTTAAATTATTTATGTGGTCATCTTAACCCAACTTAAACTAACCCTAAATCAAGCCCTCAAGTGTTGACTAGTATATAGAGTTTTAAACTAATTATTCCCGTATATACATATATAATTAAGAAGCCATATAGGGTATATGGAACTACTGATAAAGACATGCAGTTTTATCATTACCCTTTTTGAAAAATATGTTATTGTTATGAAGAACACGCATGAATCATGCAGCTCTAGCATCCACATTCCATTCAAGTCAGTTAAAAAAATTGTCAAGTTTGTAGGTAAAAAGTATTTAATGTTTGGCATTCTGTGCAGAGGAAGCCACCATAAGTTTTCTTCAACTCAAACCTGTAGTGGACTGTTGTCTTAAGCTTGCTTCGGTTTAATACCTGAGGTAAGCTCCAAGTAGAGTTTGGACTTTGGCTTCTTTTAGGGTGATTTTCTTACTTCTTCTTAAAGTAGTTTTTTAGTATAAATTTTAAAATTTTAGTATACTATATGTTCCAGTTTCATTGTTATTTTGGTGGAGGATCAGCTTTGAGGGGGGGTTTTGATTTGTTTCAAGTAGATCGGTTGAGAATGTAGCTTATTGCTTCTGCAATTAGTCAAACAACATATCAAGGGAAGAGGAATTTCTTTAAACATTGTTCACTTATCTCCTGCTTGAAGCTCCAGATGCTAGGCCTAAGGGAAAACACTTTCTTTGGTGCCATCCCGCCGAATCTCGGCCTCCTCCCATCCCTCGAAATCTCCCTCAACCTCAGTTGCAACCAACTCTCTGCTACCTTCCATCTCAGTTCTCTGAGCTCAAAAAGCTCACAAAATTGAGCCTTGCCGGTGACTACATTGAAATGGCCTTTCTCTTCAGGAAAAAAAAGTCACAATAGAAGGAACATGCTAGAGAAACTGAGAAGGAAACCAAGCATAACTCATTATTTAAAAAATAAATCACATGAACATATAACTTCTAGAATGAAAACAAAAGTTACCTGGAGGATCCATTACTTTTAATAATGGTACTTTCAACACGAACAATGTAAGGAAAATCCTCTTCATAAGGTAAGATAGGTTCTAATGCTCTCTCAGCATGCATTTATGACCAATCTCTCTCCTGTTAGGTGCACCAATTCGCCCAACTTCAATGCAACAACTTGAGAGCGAAGTGAGTCAAGTCGAAGTCGAGCCTCAGGGTGTCGTAGCGTGACTTGAGAGCGGAGAAGTAGCATTCGAGTTGCTTCGTCTTCCACCTCGCGCGCCTGTTCTGGAACTAGATGATGACTTAGCAAGGCTAGAGGCCTATATCTTGAGCTAAATGACCCTTCTGCTCCGGCTTGAGCCGGTTTTCTACATTGAAGCTCTGTTCCAGAGCACGCACTTGCTCTGTTCCCAATCGCTTCTTCTTTACCCCTGCGGCGTTGGCGGCACCGCCGCAGCAAATTACGTCATCATCGTTGTCGTCGTCTTCAAAGATCATGTCTGCTGAAGTCGCGCAAACTGCCCTTCGTAATACAAGACTGATGCTTCAAAGGAATTGCTTACATTCTGCTCAAAACAAACCAAACAACCTAATTTATAAAATGCACGTAAATAAATTACTTTAGCCTCCTAATTCTGCATACCAAACAGCCTCTTAGTCTACATATTAGTCACGTGTGTTTGGCACTAGTGGGCCCTACCCTCGTAAGAGGACCGCTGTTGGTGGTAATGACTAATGTGGTATCTCTGCACATCACCATCTTCCGTTTACCTTTGCGCACTACACAAATAAGCAAATAATCCCAATTATAAAAAAGAAAGAGAAGCCTTAATTGTTTTTGCCCGACTGCAAGACTCCTCACACTCTCTCAACGTAACTGGGGTAGAAGAGAATATGCTCGGGTTTGTGTACGGGTGAATTTGGACAATAAACTTCAGGCTAGAGTTTGGGTCAATGGATTGAATGGGAGATTCTTCCAGAAGGTAGAGTATGAGGCCATTGGTCTTATATGTTATGGCTGTGGCAAAGTGGGTCATTGTAGGGAGCTATGTCCATCAAAGACTGGTGGTCAAGGGAATATCGGGACAACAAGAACAGGGGAGCAGTTGAAATAGAGTGGGCCGTTGGAAAGCAGCTCAGAACAATCTACGGGAAGCCTCGAGAGGCTGGAAACAGTGCAAACCAAGCAGACCATTCCTTCTATTGTTAAAATAGAAGGTGGTAGCTAGTTTAAATCTGTTGGAAGTAGTAATAAAGAAGGTGGTGAGGAGTCTCAGCTAGGTAAGAATGCTGGAAACTCTAATAGGGAGGAATGCATATAGGAAATTGGGGATCAGTTGGGACCATAGATTCAAGTCCCCCCCCGTCGAAGAAGAAATGCTCGCCCTCAAGGTAGAAATATTGTTAGTAATGGTAATATACAGAACTTGAATACTCCCAAGCAGGTGGACTTAAGCAAAGTCAAAGAGCCTCAAAGTAATTTGAAGCCTACCCGCAAGCAGAATAGAATGGGATTTAAGCAGCCTTTACCATTTACGGCTGGAATGAAACCTGTTTTTCCGAGAATTAATAGGTTTAAGATTGAGAAGGAACTTAGTCAGTTGGGACCATTGAGGAGCTCCCAAGAAAAAGGAAGGAGTAGATGGTCGATACTACTAGCGGCTGGGACGCTTTCCTTATAGTCCATTAATGTCCTCCATCTTAATCACGAATTGCAGGGGTGCCCATAAGAAGCAAACAGGTAACTACTTGCGCAGCCTCATTGGTAGCAATGAGGTGTTTTTTATTGGGTTGGTTGAAACTATGATTGAAGATATTACCATAATTGAGGTGGATAGACTCATTGGTAATGGATGGGAATTTTTCCATTTCCCTGCAATGGGCAGATCTGGTATGTTACTAGCTTTGTAGAGGAGGGACATTATTTAGTTTGAATTCATTATGACTATGGACCAGGTTCTGGTTGGCCATCTGGTGTTACCTAATTTTCAGAAATGGGCTATTGCATTAGTTTATGACAATAAAGTCTATCATGTGAGACAGACTCTTTGGAATACCATTGGTTCCAGTATTGATGCTGACCTCCCGGTGATTATAGGTGGAGATTTCAACTGTTGTCTTGATTAAAGTGAGAAGAAAGGAGGTAGGAGGTACAACTACTCGGTGGGAGCTCAGGAAATGGCCACATTCCTTGTAGACAATGACTTACATGATTTGGGTTTCTTGGGACCCAGGTTCACGTGGTCGAATAATAAATCTGGTAATAGCAAAATTTTGGTTAGATTGGATAGAGAATTGATGAATTCGGAAGGTCTCAGGATGGCCCCCTTGGCCACGATGAAACATCTTCTTCGGCTTGCTTCGGACCACTGTCCGTTATTGTTGAATATTGCGGCTACCATTCCGAGACCTGGAAGTAGATGGTTTCTATTTGAGGATATCTGGATGACTTATCCAGCTATATGGAAGCTTGTATGGAAGATTTGTTACAAAAATGATTATGGGCAGCCGGCTGAGGTGTTAAACCGCAAGTGCTCTAGGACTCTTAGAGCTTTGTTCTTTTGGAGGTGAAATCGACTAAAGAAGTTAGGAGAGCTGAAGTCCTCGTTGGAAGGACGGTTGGACAAACTCCAAATGCTGGAGTCTTCCAATGATGGACTGAATGAAACACAAGACCAGGAGTTGCGGAGGATGGCTGTTGTGCTGAATGTGACTTTGGCTCGCATTGCCACCTGGTGGAGACAGAGAGAGAAGTCCAAATGGATTGAAGAAGGAGATGCCAATTCTCATTTCTTCCACTCGTTTGCTTTTGCTCAGAGGAGGGGGAATAGAATCCTGGAAGTCCAAAACTCAAAAGGGGAACGGATCACCGAACCAAAACTCATCCAAGATGAGTTTTTGAAGTTTTTTATGCTCAAATGGAGGGATAGACAGGTTTCACTAGTGAATTGGCCCTCCTTTCAGACTGAGGCTATGGTTCCTAAGCAGATCAAAGTGAGCTTGGAGCCAATTGTCACTGATCAGGAGGTCTGACAAGCTATCTTTAGAATGCGAAATAATCATTCTCCGGGCATTGACGGTATTACCTCTTCCTTCCTGAAATTCTATTGGGATATTGTTAAATGTGATGTCACTAGTGCTATTGTCCATTTCTTTTGCACTAACTCTATGTGTGAAAGGTGGAAAGACACGTTGGTGGTCCTTATCCCAAAGACGGATAATACTAATTTGCCGTCTAAATTTAGACCTATCAGTCTAAGCCAATCTTTCTATAAGGTGGTAGCTAAGATTTTGATCAGTCGTCTCAAACCTATATTTGGCAATATTAGCAGTGAGGAACAGGGGGCCTTTGTTCCAGGAAGATCTATCTCTAGCCATTGTATGATTGCTCAAGAAATGATGTGTAAGTTCCAGTATTCTTCTCAAAAAGCTGGAATGATGGCATTGAAGGTGGATATGGAACAAGATTACGATTGTATGGCGTGGGAAACCTTTCAAACGGTGATGAATTTAATGGGGTTTTCATCTCGGTTCATTCAATGGGTGATTCAATGCATTATTAAATTAAGGTTTACACTCCTAATTGACGGGAACAGAACACCTTGGATCCATGCCTATAGTGGTCATCGACAAGGCTATCCCTGTCACCTTATTTGTTTATACTTTGCTCGGAACTTTTGACCAAAGCGTTCCGACAGAGAGGAGGATAGCTGGGGATTAGAATTATAAAAAATGCTGAAAGTATTTCGCACTTGTTGTATGCTGATGATATTCTTGTTTTTGTAGAAGCAAACAGGTGCAATGCCATTTGGATTATGGGCCTTTTAAATGAGTATTGCGAATGGATGGGTCAGAAAATCAACTGTGGTAAGTCAGCCGTTCTCCTTAACAAGAGGTGTCCAAGTTGGAAGAAGCAGATGATAGCTAAGTTGATGGGATTTAGGAAGGTAGATTCCCTTGAATATTTGGGACTACCATTAGTACTGAAGAAGCTGGTTACTGCCGATTTCTTGAAAATAATTAAGAAGACCCATGAGAAGACAAATATTTGGGGGAAGAAGCACCTATCCTTGGAGGGAAGAGCTTTGTTGATCCGTACCTCACTCCTAACAATCCCAATATTGTACTTAATGACTCATACCTCAATCCCTAATGGGGTATTATATTCAATTGAAAAATTGGGAAGAAGTTTCCTTTGGCAGAAAGACTCCAACAACAGAGGGATGCATTATGTTGGATGGAAGGAGTTATGCCAAACTCTGGACCAAGGGGGTCTCGGTTTTCACTACCTTTCTGTTTGGCAAGAACCCCTCCTGGCCAGGCTGGTTTGGGAAGTTCTTCAGCATCCGAATATGGTATTAAATTAGTTACTGAAAGCTAAGTATGGAACGGACATTTGGGGAGATACTCAAGTTCAGAAAATTTCAATCACCTGGAGGGTAATTCATGATGGCGCCAAGGCTCTAAGATCCACTTTAAGGTGGAAAATTGGTGATGTTCAACAAATCAATTTGCTGCAGGATTGCTGGATTCTAGACCGTGAGATAGCTGTATGGCCTATGTTTGTTAATGTGGCTGAAGTTGAGAGTATGAAGGTGATTTATCTTTTGAATGAATCCTTCCTATGGAATGAAGAAGTGGTGGAGAAGTGTTTTGGCAAGATAATGGCACGTCATATTATGTCTATTAATACGAATAGTGGTAATGGAGCTTATTGCCCTGAACTTATTGATTCCTGAATGAATAGGACGGTGACTGATATGGCCTATCGGGCCAAGATCGGTGTGATCGAGATTGGTGGGTAAATTGAAAATGCACCCTTGTGAATGTTTCTTCTGGTGGAGACTTCTTCGGGATGCTATTCCTACCAATTCTTGGTTATTTCGAAGGGGATTATTTGATACACCTTTATGCCCATGGTGTTGTAATGTTGAAGAGTGCTTAGACCACTACACTACTCAATGCACCAAATTGAAAGAGGTGTTTACTATACTGGTAAAGTGGGGGTTTATTATGCCTATGATTAATTCTTTGGAAAACTTAATGACTGAGCTCTCCATTATTGTTGACAGGAACCTAGCATTGGGACCGATTTGTTGCTATGCTATTTATCATTTATGGCAAGCCAGGAATGACAAGAATCATGGGAAGAATTATAAATCCCTGTCCGTTATTACTGCTACAGTTCTATCCCTATTACTTACCCTCATCGATCACCTATTTTAGAGCAATGGAGTACTAACTAGCCCTTTGGGCTGCCTACTCACAAACAATGGTGCCCCCCCCCAGGTTGGTTGAAATTCAATGTGGATGCATCTTTAAAACCTTCTTGTCAAGCAGGTCTTGGAATTGTGGTTCGAAATTATGAGGGAGCCTTGATCATTGTGGTCAGCAAGTGCTTTGAGCATTGGGATCCTTTCCAAGCAGACGTTATGGCGGCTACCGCTATCCGTGAGGTTATTGTGGAATGGATGATTTATATGGAAGGGATTATCATTGAGGGTGATTGCATCAGCACAATTGAGTGGTTCCAGCACTAGAAGGACCACCAGCATAAGGGACACTTCAGGTTTGAAGGATCGAATCTTTCTTTTTTATTGGAATTTAAGCATATTATTTTCCAGTATATAAATATGGAGAGCAATCGGCCGGCTGATTTTTGTGCCAATTTAGCTTTACATGAGAGTTTTGCTTTTTATGATGCAAATAATGGGGATTTCCCCTCAACCCTTTTGTCGTTGTTGAGGGGTGATAGTGATCAGTATAGTTCATAGTTTAGTGTTACATGTAACTAGTTTTTCCTTTATATTTTGAATGAAAACTACAGAATTTCATCTCTCTCTCTCTCTCTCTTATTCCATCTTCATCTCTATCTCTCTTCCCCCTTCATCTCTCTCTCTCTCTCTCTCTTATTCCCTCTTCATCAATCTCTCTCTCTCTCCTTCTTCATCTCTCTCTCTCTCTTGCTCTCTCTCTTATTCCCTCTTCATCTATCTCTCTCTTCCTCTCTCACTCTCTCTCTCTTCATCTCTCTCTCTATCTCTCTCTCTCTCTCTCTCTCTCTCTCTCTCTCTCTCTCCTTTCTCTTATTATTAAACTCTTTTAAACTATCTTCAAAATTTTCATCATAAGTTCTTTTTCTTCTTATATTATTTCTATAGCATAATCAAAAGAATATTTTATCAAATGAGATTAATTAAATAGTTTATAAATCAATCCATTAAAAATAATTTATGGGGATTAATATCTTTCTTATTTATATTTAATGGCATTAATCCAAACTCTTTTATTATATATTTATACATGCTTGAATTTGTGTGTGTATTGATCTCTCCCAGAGGATACTACCTGGGATTTTGATTAACATCTTGCATGGTCAGTTTTTCCAATGCATTGAGTATAAAGGCTTCTTGACCTTATGCTTCTCTTGTGGCTGCATTAGCCATTCTGCCCAAACCTGACCCAGATTGTCTGCTCGCTCCATGGCTCCATCACGTGCATCCTCCTCCAATCCTCCCAAGAAGTTGGTCACTTATGAAAATGGGGGGACTCCTCAGGCCCCCTTCCCCTCTTAAGGATGAGACATCCACACAGGCCAACCTCATTGAATAGCACTCCCAACCCAATATTGCTAAGGAGGATGAGTTTGGAGATTTGAATCTTATTTCAAGAAGAAGGAATGGAAAGTACAAGCCCAAACCAAAGTCCCATTCCACCCTTCCATAGGAGCAGCCCACTAATACCATCCATCTTGAGGAGAACAACCCACCTAGTATTTTGACTGCTGCAAGGACACAGTAACCCAATGACCCTCCTCCAAAACCATCAATGTCTCTAAAATGTAACATGAAGCCTCCAAGGCCTTTTTAATAAACAATTTTTGCAGTTGGCGCCGATTTCCAACATGCCTAGGAAGAGAAAAAGAATTTTCATGATGACATTGTTAGGGACTTTGTCCCCTTTTGTGAGTAAAGATGTCTTTCCTTATTACTTCCCATGACAAGCACATCTTAATCATCATTTTTGCTAGAGCAATAGGATACTTCTCAACCATTGGGCAGTTTCAACACCTTTCTCGATATCTCCCCCTTCTGGAGTAGTTTTTTGTCTATCTTTTTGGTCCTTAGGGCAAGTGCTTGGGAGACCACTCTATGCAAACCAAAGGGGTTTCAGTTCCCTCTTGCTTTTTTGCCTTCTCCTTCTTTTTTTTTACATGTATGGATTATTATCCACAAATATATTGCTCTTCTCCTATTTTCTTTTTTATCTTGGTAGGCATAGGCTTTATTTCCATAATTTTATTGTACTCCATATGTACCATTTTATTTAATTAATGAATGCTCCATGCACTGGGTTCCAACATACGGGGAGATGCTAAAAAGGCTGCAAGGGTGAAGGTTATTCACAACTTGATGTACAAGAAAGACTCAACTGCTATGGACATCAAGAAGATGATTATTAAGGCAAGCTTCAGTGGTGGCGAGGTACCCTCGGGCACAGCTGATTGAGGTTCTTACAGGATGGTGTTGAAAGATATGGAGGTTAGTATGTCATGCCCTATTGATTGTGCT